CCCCTTTTTTTTTTTTTTTTTTTTTTTTTTTTTTTTTAAAGCCAGAAAAAATTTCTCACACTGTTGCTAGGAATTCCCTTCAGTCCATTTTTAAACGAAGTTTTTTGTGCCTTCCCATTTTGAAGTTTTACCCAGATTTTGGCATTTTTTTTTTTTTTTTTTTTTTTTTTACTCCCACTTACCAGAAAAAATATGAACATCCTGCACCTCTGCCTAGTTGTCCTCATCGACCTGAGCATCCTCTATGAGCAATTTATAGGTACTAAAAAGGACAGTGGCAAAGGGATTACACGCGCGTAGCTTATGTGCTTGCTTCCTTTAATATTGTGCAGCTCCGTCTCTCCCCTCTTGGTTATTGTCCTCATTTTCGTCATTTTATTTTTTTTTTTTTTCCCCCTCCCCTGCAGACACGGTTGAGAATTACTCTGTGCACGAAAAAGGAGTCGATCTGATAATTTGCTTCTACTATCTGTTCCTCATTATAAATGTCCTGAAAGAATTGTCAAATCACTGGAAGGTGCTTTTTATTCCGGTGGAAATAATTCGAACAACTGTTACGCACAACTACATGCTGCTCCTCTTTCTCCTGAACTTCCTCCTGTTGATACTCATTAATTATTTTTCGAGTAAGGGTAGAGTGTCCTCCTCACTATGAATGCGCAATGTGCATTTTCGCCTTGGACTAGGCTACTAATGAGTAGTAATATGTGTGGACGTCCGTCTCGTATGAAGGGGCATAGGGTGGAACCCTCTGGAATCGTATAAATGTGACACATCCCCCATTTGTACCTCTTCTAGGCGGGGAGAAGCTCAAGGCCTACTTCAGCTCCGTCTTTACCTTCCATGATGACTCCAAATACAAGAACGAATTTCTATACAACTTTTTTGTTGTTATAATTTACACCTTTTTTTTTGTGCCCATGATTACTGTTGCTTCCACCGCGACTACCTTTTTGCTGATAAACAAGTATGAGGACCTTTTCGGTAGGCAGTTCATGGGGTTACGTGAGGAATGGGTGCTCCATCTCATATATTTACTTCCATTAAGAAGGAAATACACAATACCTGCATACATGTTTTTCCTGCCCCTATGTAGAGTTTAAACCTCGAAAGAGCCATCTATGGGCCAAACTAAGGGAGTACTTTTTTTTCCTCAAGGAGAAAAATCAAACAGTAAAAAAAAAGGAGCTGCGCTGAGGGAGAAAACTTAGTTACACTCCAATAGGGGGGGAGTGATAAACAAGCCATAGGGAGACGCATAACAAAGCGCCTGACCCACACACACATACCACACATACACCTGGTGCAGGAAACACCTGAACGAAGAAAAGAAATGACCTACGAAGAATACGAAGAGAAGAAAATTAAAATAGACATCCTCAAGATTGGCAGCATCCTTTTTTTTTTCCTTTTTTTTATATTTTTTGTGCTGAAAATATTTTTTGATCAGAATACCATGACCCACCTTGACGCTCATTATTCGCACCAGTTGGGAGCGCCCTTTGTCACGAAGGAGGGAGGGGTAAGGCATTGGGGCGCATATATGTGGAAGAGTGTCTGTCAGGGTGCCATTAGCATGCCCGTATGGGCAAGCACACTGCGTTAACCGCATTAACCGCCCCCCCTCCCTTGTGCAGGAAAAATCGTTCGACACGCTGACGCACACGTCCGAGTACCTGCAGTTCCTCAGCGCCGTCGTGATAAATAACATAATGAGAAATAATAAAAACCTGGACAATAAAAATCTGTTTAAACTGGAAGCGGCCTTCGAGGGACAGAACATCTTTGTGTACGAAGACGTCTTCCACATTTTCCCCTATGACGTGTTGGTGAAGATCAGCGATGGGAAGGCAGGTAAAGCGCGCGTGGCTGCCGGAGCATGTGTGTGTGTGGGCACCAAAAAATGAGCCACACGTAGATACTATGCGCGTCGCTTCATGCTACCCCACGTTGACCTGCTTCCCAACTCCCCCAAAGTGTCGGACGAAATAGCCGTGGAGAATCCCCTGCTTTCAGACGAGCCCGCCACAGGTAAGCAAAGGAGAGAGGTGCCCCCAAAAGTCTGAACGGTCGCACACCCCGTTATGTACACACCACAATTGCACACGCGTTTTTGCCGCTTGTTCCCCACGCAGACGCGCACGAACTGCGCGAGTACGAAGACACGCTTGACAACAGAAAGGAAGCCATAAAACACTACGACGCGTATGCCCTACTGTACAACTTTGAGCACAGCCTGTTCATTCTATTAAATGTAACACAAAAAAAAGTGACTGAAATGAGGGGGGGAAAAAAATATGAATGTGCATGTGGATAGCCACCTTTTTCTACATTTTAGCTAGCCAGATAGCTTTTTTTTTTTTTTTTTTTTTTTTTTTTTTCTCCCCGTGTAGGCGTCCTTCAACGTCCAGAGCAACGGCCTGTTCAGACAAACCAAAGACGTCTTCATACAGGAGATGACCGAATTTAAAAACCCGCAGTACAGAACTAAATTGATCATTTTAATATTCCTGTTAATCGTAACAGTGGGTTATTTGCTGCTAGTAATGTACATGTTGTACTACGTGCGGAATCGATTTTTCCTGGTGTTCTTTAGCTTCTTTTTTATCATTTGTTTGTGTTTCTTTTCATTTAATTTTATGACACTGAAGTCTGTGAGTCATTCATATGACTACGTTGAGAATATAAAGAACAGGAACATTGCAGAAACATTTAATTTGAACAAGCTTGGGAAATTCAAGTCACTGCTGGACGATTTGTTACGGATAAAAGTGTCCAAATTTTACGGGAATTTGTTTTGTCATATTATTCTTGTTACAATAGTGTTGAAGATTTATTGCTTCTTCTTTGTTAATTATTTTGTTTCATTTACCAAGTACAAGTTTCACTTCCTCTTGGTGACGGCTTCGGTGTTCATCTTCGTCTGTTTGATGTCCCTCTTGAGTAAGAGAAAGCGGTGGAGTCGCGGCGTCTGCCACGTTTGTTTCGACCCTCATCACATCCTCACTCGATCGCCGCTACTACCCCCTCCCATCACCACCACCGCAGGCTCCTACACCTACCTGAACGCGAACCTAGGCCTCCAAAAATGGACAATGCTGTTTTATCACGTGCAGACAAGCGAAAAGTACTTCGCCTATGAGCTGCTAAGTACTTTCATTTTCTTTTTCTTCCTCTTCTACATCACATCAATATACTTGTATATTTATTTAAAAAAAAATGAAAACCCAGTAACAGTTAAGCTCAAGGAAGATGAAGACAATTCACTTCCCTTTGACGATGTAGTGCTTGATGATCTAGTCCTTGACGACCATGACATTTTGCTCCACTTCAAGGCCATCCTGTATACCATAGACAAGACATTCGAAAAGGTGAGGATACTATGGGAGAGGCATCAGGTAGGGCAATTATTAAACCAGCAAATCCAGTGGTATAATCAGTACTGCTATGAAAAGGCTTTGCAGGAAAATTTACTAAATTGGTATGTCTCTAATGGATGTGTGCGTCAAGAGGGGGGTCAGTTGGTTCAGCCGCCTCAACCTAGTGGTTTGTTTGACGGTGGTGTAGCAGGCCAAGTGGGGAGTGTTGCCGTTGTGAACAGGGAGGTGGGGAATGATCAGGGTGGGGTTCCCCTTTCCGGTTTCATCGAACCAACCAATCAGGGTGGTGGCCCCGAAACGAACTCCCACGAGATGAATACACAGCGGTTACAAGGTGAGCAAGGAGGAGATCAGTCAAGTCTTCACGATGAGGAGGAAGTCGACGCGGTGGCTGCCACTTCACAAAGGTACAACGAGTTCGAAATGGTTCAGAAAACGACGAACATGAACTTATTTTTCACCAAACTCCTGAATGGGAAGTATGACTTTAGTTTTTTGCATGAACAAAGGGGGGAGAATGCCCCAGGTGGCGCGAATGCGGTGGGTGGAAACCGTCACAATGGCCAGGGCAAAAAGAGGCTGTTGGACTTCCTCAGAAAAGGGGTTTACGACAAGACGGCAGTTGGGAGAAGGGATAAAAAAAAGGAACAGAACAGAACAAAACTGAAATACATGCTAACCAATTTGGTTGAAGATTTAGCTAATATAGAAAAAATAAAAATGGCATTTACGTATGCACTGTTTTTGAAGATAAAGCGACACATCCTGATGAGGAACATACGGCAAGTGAACAGAGTCACGGGCGAACTGAAGGCCGAGTATGAAAACAGAGTCCTCTACAAAAAGCACCTCATCAATTTGCAGCAGAAGATGGCCAACGAGATCGATGAGATGGAACGAGACATACTAATACGGAACAAGCTGAAGGGCACCCTCATCCATGTCATAGAGGAAGGAACGTGTAAGAGAGGGAAGAAGCGGCAGTATCACTTTTTTGCACAGCCGTTCCTGCAAGACCATCCATGTGGAGGTGTCCCACACGAGGTCACTTCTTTCTACTGCCTCGCATGTTGCTAATTATTACTTCTCCCCTGATTTTAACCTTCCTTCCCCCCTCCCTTTTTCAGTCTACCTGAAGGATGAGAAGGACATCAAGGACCCCGCCGAGTCGACACCACAACCTGCCCCAGGCGCATTGGATGAAGAGATTCTCCCAGAGAAGCAACAAAAAATGATGTGAAGTAATCTCGCATCCATTTTTACTTCGTGTAGGTACTTCTCCTAAGGAGCTGATTGGCAATGTGTGCAGCTCATGTGGGGGGATACATATCTAGTTAGGAAAAATGGGATATTATACCTTTTCATGTATATATTTTTTTTTTTTTTTTTTTTGTGAGGCTCCTTTCTACGGGCCACAAATGTGAACGTGTCATAGGTCTGATGTACTGTGCCAATTAAATTGGTTTTATATTCTCTTTGCGCGTCCTTAAAAGGGTGTGGGATTTTCAAAAGAGGCACTTCCCTGAAGGGGGGGGGCTGCACCTACTGACCATATCACAATAGAGAATGTTACAGTAGTGATGAACATGTTACTTTTCTCGCGTCGTGATGTGCATTTCTCGGAACGGTTGTGGTGTGGGGGTGTAGGTTGTTTGCCCCATCTTCGTTTGCGGTTAGGGTTCGCGGCAACCCTGCACCCGTTTTCGCCCTTTACGGGTGAAGCCTTCATAAACATAGCAGCATCAACACATTTTTGCACCGGGTTTTTGTTCTCAATAGTTGGTCGAGCATGACAAGTATATGGCTTATGTAGGCAAGGAGATATTTTCTTTTGTCGTTTTTTTTTTTTTTTTTT